CTTCTTCTGAAGATAGCCCTCTTCCCTCTCGGTCTTCCTTTGCTAGCCTAAACCCTTTTAGCAAACAGACCGGTATTCCTGGTCTGTTGGTCAGAGTGACCAACATGGTCTCTTGCCTGGACACCATATTTTAATATAGGCTAAATTTGTGGCTTAGACCAGATTTACCTTAGAATCTGTCAGCCTTCCCTGGTTGACTTGCTCCCTGCCATGTCCTCCTTAATCAATCTTTCTTACGGCCCTTCCCTCTACCTTCATTACCTTCTCTTCTCCCTTCTTCTGGCTCTTCTGCTCTCTCATCCCATCTTCCTCCTCCTCCACCCAAGGTCACAGCCAGCAGCCTCTGGTGGAGGTGTGGAGCTGAGTGTCTCCATAGGGGCTCTCCTGGGCAATATTCAGCCCTGGGGACCCTTTGAGGTCACTGGCACACAGGACTTGAGGACAGACTGTGGAAGACTGAGGTCTGGGGGCCCAAACCCTGGGAAATCCAGAGAGTCCCAACCTCAAGTAACTCTGTATCCTTGTATTGGCAGATCATGTTTTTCTCCCTTTAGTTCATAAAATATGATGAAGAGGAAGGGGCACAGGAGAGGAGGAAAGATGTGTGAGAGAAACCCTGGGAAGGAGAAGGCAGCACGTGGGTGTGGAAGGAGCTGGGACCAGAGCTCTTGTCACTAAACATGTGTGACGCTGGCTAGCTCACTTTCCTCCCTGGACTTTTCCCTCATTTTGAAACGAGGATAATCTCTTGTTTTTTTGTGAGAATTACCTGAGATCATGGAGGTGAAGGAGCTTTGAGGATCACAAGGGGCCCCAGAAACTTAAGGGGCTGTTACTGTGGAGGGGATTGGGCTGGACCTAAGTGGCCTGGGCTGGAGGTGGGACAAAGCCCAGGATCCCTAACTCTTGGTCTCCAAGGTCCCTCTGGCCTGAAGGCTCTGTGACTGGTGGGGCCCGAGGGCCTACTCTGACCCCGGCTCTCTCGTCCAGTCTGGTGAGGGGGATATATGTGAAAACTCAGTCCCACTGAATGCCATTTCCATCCCAAGGCAGAGCCTACCTTCATTGTAGATTATCTCATGGGTGGTGTCTTCTCATGGAGCTACGTCTCGATTTAAAATTTAGGTTATTAGCTCCTTGAGGGCAGGGAAAGTGTATGGCTCTTGGTGGATCTGGGCAGGCACCTGGGCAACTGTCGCCTCTTCCTCCCGCTGCCCATCTCCAGGAGCAGTCCCATGGGCAGCGGGTAGTGAAGGGCAGACTGTGGGTTGTCAGAAGCCCTTCTCGAACAAATGGGCTCACGTTCACAGAGCACTGTGCAAGGAAGGGAGGGCTCTAGCCCTGCACCCTGCGCCACACTGGGAAGTCCTGTCTTGAAAACACCAAGTCTCCTAGGCCACTTCTCTCCATGACTCCGTGGCTCTAGGACACTGTGCTGACAGAGCCTGTTGCCCGTCGCTCTAGTCCTTACTTGCCACCGATAGAGCCTGAGTGCTCTGAGAGGGTCGGACTGAGGAGGACATGGGGCTCTGCTCCACGCAGACCTCTCAGTGAGAGTGCCAGTCTCCGAGGCCAGCCCAGGGGGTCTGGTGGTGGTGAAGTGCAGACCCCTCACCACACTCCCCTTCTGCCCCTAGAGCCTCTGCTTTATCTGGAGACCAAGCAGGAGGCTGCCTATGCACTGGGGGAAATTGTTACAGGGGGTGCCAGAGGGACCCTCTGCTGCTCCTCCTCAGTGTGCTCCCCACGGCCATCACTGTGTCTGAAACCACTCCGTCAGGGGTGCATTCCTTTGAGGAAGGCTGCTGCTTCGGTTTCCAGGGAGCCCTACTTCAAAGTGCAACTACTACAGGAGGGACCTCGTGTTGTTAGCTAGCACACTTACACATCGGGGGACCTAGAGGGGGGGTCCCAAACTTAAGCTTAAGAATCACCTGGAGTCAGCTGGACCCTGCTTAGAAACAACCAGCTAAAAAAGACATTTTGAGGAGAATCGGGGAAATATGAATGTGGGCTATAAGACAATATTATTGCATTGTTGTTAACTTTCTCAAATGTGATAATGGCATTGAGGTGATGGAGGAGAATGCTCTTGTTCTCAGCAGACACAGCTGAGGTATCTAGGGGTGAAGTACTGTGATGTCTGCAGTTTACTCTCAAATGGTTCAGCCAAATACACACACACACGTGCATTAAGCAAATATAGCAAAATGTTAGTAACTGTTGAATGCAGATAGTGGGTATCTGGGTGATCATCTTACTTTTTCAGCCGTGTGTGTGTGTGTGTGTTTGAAAATGATCATAATACAAAGTTTGGAGAAAAATCACTTGGAAAATTTGTTTAAAATTCCAGCGCCCACCCTCAGAGCCTGTGATTCAGGAAGTCCAGGTGGTGCTCAGAACGGGGACTTGAGCAGGCTGCCCAGGTGTTCCTGATGCAGGTGACCCTCGGAGCCCTCTGAGGAAACACTGCTCTGAGATCCCAGGGTCCCAAGCTGGAAACCCCAGCCCCAGAGCATCATGGGTCTGGAGCAGGTACAGTGGTCAGATGGGCGAAAGTAGCCATGCTAAGCAGTGCTGGCTAAGGGAGCCAGCACCGTGCTTGGCCGCCTTGCGCACCCTGATCCTTTCTGCTATTCTCAGCCCTGTTCGGGACAGCACTCTCCACCGTATAGGAGCCTCCCATTGCTGCAGCCTCAGCTCTGGCCACACGCTGCCTCTACTCCCTTGCTCTAGCAACTTTCGCCTGTTTAAGCATCATGCTGTGTCCGACCTCCTGGCATTTGCTCAGACTGTCCCTTCTGCTTAGAATGACCTTTTTTCTTACTTCTCAACCTCCATTCTCCCCCATTTGCATGGCCAACATGTACCATCTCCATGTTCCCTCCTCCAGGAAGCCTTTTCAAGACTGGGTCAGTCACCCCTTTTCATGTGCTCCCATAGCACCCCCAGCATACTGTTGCCCTCATGTGACTTTCCACTTACTGGTCTGTGTCGCTCACTCCTGGAGAGTCTTACTGTGGAGTGATCAGGGCTGTTCCCAAATGTTTCTGGCTTTCCTCCTTCCAGGTACAATGTAGGGTTGCACTGCCTAGAACCTTGAGGGTGAGTGGGGCATGTGGCTAGTTCCAGGAAATGAACTATGATCACAAGTGGGAGACCCTCTAGAGCTTTCTTTTTATCTCCAATCCAGCAATGCACCACCTGAGAGATGGCAGATCCCTGGGAGCCTGGGTCCCTGAGTAAGCACAATGGGCAAAAAAACCTCCTGGCAATCTATAATGGGCATGTAGCTTTGGTGAGAATAAATCCTAATTGTTTTCAGCTACTGTGATTTTGGGGTTTGTTTGTTACTGCAGCACAACCTAGCTCAGGCTGACTGATACACATGCCTTATTCATTTCTGTATCCACCAAACCTGGTCCAATTCCTAGCACAAAACAGATATATAAGAAATAATTCCTATCACTCTTTGTCTTGGCTGCAAAACTGGCCTCAAAGACCAGGCAGATGTTCCAGGACACACCACTCCTGTGTCCTTCACTTCTTCCCTGGTTACAGGACTCTCCATGGAGGTCTCCAAAGTATCCCCACACAAGGAGGTACAAATGCCAACTCCTCTGACCTTTTAACAGCTCAGACAGGCTTCTGGATGGATCCCAAGTTAACCATAAGCCACCATCACCCGCTAGCCCTGAAGAAGGCTCTCGTGAGGAGGGGAAACTTGTAACCCACTGCCCTGCTTGTTAACTTGTGAAGACCCCTGAACCTTCAGGCTATCTCCCCAGAAAAGCATCAGAGAGAGGACCCTGAGCTTACCCTAGGTTACCACTCCAATGTTTGGAAAAGTTCTGAAGGAAAGAAAGTTTGTCCCCATTGCCTCTTCGGTCCCCTGTTTCTGTGGCCCTTTCCTCTTGCCAGCTCACCCGGGTCCCAAGCACACCTCCTCCCCGTCTCCCTGACCCCAAGGACTGCAGGAGCTAAAACGATCAACAAATTCACTGAAGTGTGAATACGGAAGGCAGCAGCCCACAAAGTCAGCCTGGCAGGACTCGGGCCACGGGGTGAAACTGCAGGTGTTTTGGCCCCTGCACATCCTGGGAGGATGCTGGTCGTAGAGAAAGTCAGAGCTGCAGCTGCTTTATCCACAGGGACCCGGAAGCCCAGACTTCCCCTCAGGCCTCCTGGCTTTTGGTCCTTGAGGAGAGTGGATTCCAGATGCTTTCAGATGCTGTGTCTTTCATTTCTTTTTCCCAGGGATCCCAGCTCAGGGCAGTGCAGAGCAGCTGATGGGGTAAGAGGTGGGCAAAGAGTGTTACAGTCACAGGGGAGGGCCCAGGAGGCAGGGGAACCAGGCTTCTCCTTGCCACCAATTTGATGTTCCTCGGACCACAGGTTTGCACAGCCCCAGCCCCCAAAGCCCCAGCCCCAAGCTTGCTCTTTGGAACCCTTGTTCTCAGCGGGGTGGGTGTGGGTGCCACACTTGTCCAAGAATTCTGCACGTCCCAAGGTTGTTCTGCAAGGAAGAGCCCATAATGCTCCTCACATCTGTACACGGTTTTGTACTCCCCAACCCTTCGCATCCATTATTTCCTGAGGTCTTGATAGTCCTACTGGCCAGGAGGGAAAAATATTATTGTCCATGTTCAACAGTGGATGAACTGAGACCCAGAGAGGTGAAGAAAGTTCCCTGGTCCACACAGCAAGTCGGTGACAGAGCCAGGATGGAGCCTGGGCCCCGCAATCCTATGACAAGTGTCCTGCCTGCTTTACTATGGTGTTCTAGATGAGAAAGGGTGAGAGGAGCTATTCTGGAAGTTTCACTCTGGAGCTCACACATGCACACACAGACATACACATACTCTTGCAAAATGCAGGCACCAGCGACATAAATATCATGGGAGTTCCGAGAGAGATGTCCATGTAGGGGACCACTGAGCCTCTGTGAGGGGTGTCCTGACCCCCTTGGGGGGTCATCTGGCTAGGGACCAGAAAGGGCCATCCCGGCCCAGCCTCACGTGGGGCTTTGCTCCTCATGGTGCACAAGGGGATGCCGGTGGCTGAGGGGCTTCTCACGGTGAACACACAGCTGTCGGTGGGCCCCGGGGGCTCATCTGGCTCAAGTTTTCATAATTGGACTCCTGAGCCTGGGGCCTGTGGACAGGAGAAAGTTGGCTGACCACCCGATACAGGAGAGTGCTCCCTGACTACTCACCCACAGCCCAGCAATGGGCAGGAAGGAGAGATGAGATGGGCGTTGGGGGCCTAGATCCAACAGGGCCTGGAGGCTAACTGAAGGTTGCAAGCAGGGCAGCGGCAGAACTTGCGGAACAAGGAGGGGGCACACGCAGGTGACAACATCCCAGACCACAGAGTCTCTATCATCTCGAAGGGATCTTGTCTGTGGCTTCAAAAACTACCTCCGTGTTCCTGACCTCCAGACCCACATCTCCAGGCCTGGCTTCCTAAGCTCCAACTGCTTTCCTGACTTTTGGGATGTCTTAATGGGCATCTCAAACCTAAAGGTCCACCGTGCTCGCCTGATCCTTACCACCACCACCCTTCTCTTCTCTCCTCATCTTCATCTCAGTAAGTGACACCCAGGGTTCCAGCTCCAAATGGGCATCCTGGCTCCCTCCCTGGCTCGGGCTGCCCGCCCAGTCCTCTGGACAGCCCTGCCTTCTGTCGGCCCCATCTCCCTGCCTCCACTCCTGCCACCTGCATCCAAGCAGCCAGGCCAGCCTCAGCCCTAGTCAATAGCACCTCACAAATCTCCTGGCCCCACTCTTATTCTGACGGGGCCATTTGTCTGCTTACAACCATTCAGTGACTTCCCATCGCACTCAGAATAAATCCCACAGCCTGCATGCCCTCCCGCCTCCTTCTGGGGTTTCCCCTGAGCCTTTCTTTTTCTTTTTTTGAGGAAGATTAGCCCTGAGCTAACATCCATTGCCAATCCTCCTCTTTTTTTGCTGAGGAAGATTGGCCCTAGGCTAACATCTGCGCCGATCTTCCTCTACTTTATATGGGATGCCGCCTTAGCATGGCTTGACGAGTGGTGCGTAGGTCTGCACCCGGGATCTGAACTCGTGAAGCCCGGGCCACCGAAGCGGAGTGCACGAACTTAACCACTACGCCACCGGGCTGGCCCTCCCCTGAGCCTTTCGATTGCCCCCACCACCCCTGCCCACCCCTCGGGGCTCTGGCCTCAGCTGTCCTCAATGTCGTGTCCTCCAAGAGGACATCCTGATCTAGAGTAGCCACAGCCCAGTGGCCGCCTCCCTCCCCTGGGGCTCTACTTCATCGCTTTGTCCATTTCTTTCACAGCTCTTATTTTAGAATCTAAGATGATCTTGTTTATGTGTTTATTAAAATTCTCCACATTAAAATGTGAATTCTCTGAGGTTGGGGATTTTTGCCTCATCTTTAGCATCCAGACCAGTGCCTGGTACATAGTAGGTAGTCAGTAAATATCTGAACTACAGTCAGCTTTTTGATTTAGGTGCCGTGGTGCAGTTGTAAGTTAGCAAAGAAAAGGGACATTGCACAGGCTTTTGAGAATGTGGGGGATAGCTGAGCAAGCAGCTGGAGAGAGGGGCCTGGGCTGGCAATGTGGCTTTTCCAGTCCTCGGGGCCAGGCAGGAATAGAGTTATGGGAATGCCTGGGTGTGTCTAATGGGCCCTGAAAGTCTGTGTCCCCTCCCTCCCCAACCCAGCATCACGGGCAGACCACCTTGGGTCTCTGCATTGGATTCTTTCTTCTTCAACATCGCCTTCACTTGGACAGACACCCAGAGGAGAGGAGCATGAACCAGAAGGTCAACACTTCCTAGCCAGGTCCTGGACCCCTCACCTAAGCCCTCAGAACCTGGAATGACATTTTGTTCCCAAAGCCTTCAGCAGAGTGTCCGGGACAATGAATGCCCTGGGGTGGCTTTGTGTGGGTCTGCCTGTTCTAGAATGTTGGGCACTACACGAGGAAACACAGCCTCGAGGAATCACATCTAGGTGCAGAGATAAGACAGATAGAAAAATGCCCCTTCAGCACCGGACAGCAGGCAGGTCTGGGAGAGACGCTAGTGTGAGGCCCACAGTAAATGCTGGGAGTGGGGTGGGGTGGGGGTGAAGGAGCAGGTCAGCATGGCCTGGTCTAGCCCAAGATGGGCTTGGTGGACAGAAAGAAGGGGGCTTTGGAAGTCTGCAGGGAGGGCCTAGACCCTGGTCAAGACTGGGACCCCAGCGCTGGCCCTTTGCCTGTTCTTTCGCCTCATGCCAATAGCCCAGAGAAGCCTGCACCCCTTGGCCAGTGGGGACTAGCGTGGGGTGGTGGGGTGGGGTGTGTGGGGGTGGGGTGGCTCACTTACCATGGTGGCGTGTCCTGGGTGACTGCGTGCTCTGTGTGAGGGACAGAGAGAGAGGCGGGGCATGAATCTCTATGGTAGCTTCCAGGCTACAAGCCCTGCCATCCACTCCACCCCACTGTAGAAAGTGGCCTGAAGGGCACATGCAGCAAACAGCAAGCTAGCAGGGTGTGAAGTGACCCGAAAGATGACTGGAGTTAACAAGGAGAAGGACGGGGTGAGGAGCTCTCCAACGGAAAAACCCGCCTTTCTGAGGACCCCACAGCACAGAATGTCTGGTGACTTTGAAGAACCAGCAGGAGAGCCAGCGTGGCCACAGCCAAGACGGCAGCCAGGGCACCTGGGACACATTTTGGATTTCATCTCAGGAGAGTTTGAGGCTGGTGCTACTGACCCGGATGGTCAGAGTGGCTCTGGGAAGCCTCCTCTCTGGGGCACAGAGCAGATTTCCCATCCAGCTCAGGGAGAGCAGTGTGGGGCAAACTGCGGCTCTCTGAAGACATCTGCTAGCTCACGTTTCTACACTTCTGCACGTGCTATTCCCTCTGCGAGGAGTGCCAATGGCTCCTTGTCTTCCTCCCTCATGCCTACTTATTGATGTAGCTCTCACCTTACTTGCATAAAGCCTTTCCTCCTGGCCCCTGAGCAGATGCCCCACCAGAGAGAGACACGCATACCCTGGGCTTCTGCAGTGCCTGGGCAGCATTTCTCACCGCAGATTGCAATTAAGTGCTTACTCGTCAGCATCCCCTTCAAGGGCGGGGAACCATGTCTTATTCATCTCTGTATTCCCAGCACCTACACAGCACATAGCAGGTCCTCAAGATGCTTGTGGTAACATAATGAAATGGTGCTATCTGGGAAAGCCCGCGTGTGGTCAGGGCCTACAGGGAGGAGCCCTTTACGGGGTGCTGGTAAAGGAGTGGACTCCAGAGCTGTACTGTCAAATCTCTATCTCTGTGACTCTAGGCTAGAGGCAAGTTCCCTAATCTCTCTGGTCTCAGCTTCCTTAGCGTAAAATGGGCTCACACTGGTTCCCACCTCCCAGGCTTGCGGCAAGGAGAGGCAAGTGAGATGATACACAGGCGCAAAAATGATGTTTTGGTTGTGTCATGCCAGGTGGTCAGCCAGAGGGTCTTACCTAAGAGAAGAGCCCCCGCCTCGCCCCTGGCACCCACTCTAGCCCCGGGGCGCACTCACCTTGGCAGCGCCGGGCGGTGGCGCGCGCAGCCAGAACGCCTAGCAGCAGGAGCGCCTTGAGGCCGAGGGCGCCGAGCTGGAGGGCGATCGCCGAGGCCCCGGAGGCGCCGCGGAAGCGGAACAAGTAGACGCTGGCCTCGGCGCGGCCCAGGCTGTTGGAGGCTGTGCACGTGTAGCGGCCGTCGTGGTCCAGCGCGGGCAGCTCAGCGGTCACCTGGTGGCTGTGATCCTGACCCGGGCCCGGCACCGCGACCGAGCCGTTGCCTAGGGCCGGGCCCGACCACGCGAGAGCGGGCGGCGGCTCCCCTTCGGCGGTGCAGAGCGCGCGGAAGGCGTGCGCCGGCCCGGGCAGCACCGAGATATTGACGATCCGCGGGGCGGCTGCGGGCGGCGGCCGAGCCGGGAGAGAGGGAGCAAGCGAACTGTGGTCAGAGCGCGCGTGCAGCCGGTATGGGCAAAGGCAAAAGGGCTACCTCTCCCAGACTCCTTTGGTCGCCAAGAGAGTTGGGGGCACAGAGAGGAGGGAGTGAGTGGGCACTCAGGCGCCAGGCTGCTTGGGTCCCAATACAGGTGTGGCCTTGGGCAGGCTATTCCTCCGTTGTATGCCTCAATTTCTCCATGTGCAAAAGGGGGATCACTTACCTTACGGGGCTGTTGAGAAGATCTGGCAAGTTAGTACGTGTGGCGCGCTTGGATTAGGGCCTGGCCTATAGCAAGTGCTCACTAAACAGTCGTTATTACTGTGGTAGCACAGGGTTGGGGGCAGTCTGCTCGTGTGATTTCAAGGGTGCCTCCCTCAATCAGACAATCTCACCAAGACCTAGAGTTGAGACTGATTCACTGAGTCCATGGGACTGTGGCAGAGGCGCCCACCCTGGAAAGAAACTGAAATGCACTGAGAGAGGCGGCCCAGCCAGCCCAAGGGCTCATGGCAAGTTCTTGGCAGAGTCACACTTGAACCCAGAGCTCCTGGGTCTCCCCCAGCAGGGGTTCTGGGATTTAAACAATCTTCCCAGGTAATTCCAATGCGCAGCCAGGGTTGAGAACCACTGCGCTTGGGACGGGGCCCTTGGTTCCCACATCTTTATGCCTCAGGGTCAGGCAAAGTGCTGGGCACACGGTGGGCTCCCTCTGCAACCCCCAGGGGGCCTCGGGGACCCTTCATGCACACATCCCAATGCAGCCTTTCCCATATTTATGATTATTGTTCACGCGTTTTTCTCCCCCCCGTAGTCTGCGAGCTATTGGGGAATATTCACTCTCTAGGAGCTTCATTACAATGCCCATTCCCGGGTCCCACTCACACATCCTGGGGCCACGATTTTGCATTTTTAACAAGTTCCCAGGTGGCCCGTAACCACTGCCAGGTTTGAGACTTCCTGGTCTAGAAGAAGGGATGTATACTGTTCCCCTCTCTATCTCAGCGTTGGGCACAGTGCCCGCACCTAGTAAGCCCTCCGGAGAGGAGCTTGAAGACCGGGAGCGAGCAAAGGAACTGCCCCCGCCTCTGCCGCCCCGCCGGGCAGAGGGCGCTCCGGAGCCGCGGACCCCCGCGCTGCGCTCACCGGTCACGCGGAGCCGGACGCCGTGGCGGCTCTCGTAGCGGTCGTGGATGTCGCCGGCGAACTCAACGCGGCAGAAGTAGCGGCCGTCATCCGCCAGGGCGAGGCGCTCGATGCGCAGCGAGAGGTCGTTGCGGCGCGGGTTGCCCAGCAGCCGGAAGCGGCCGTGCAGGCTCAGCGCCGTCTGGCAGAGCTCGCTGCCCCGCGCCGCCGCGCACCGGAACACCTGCGGGCCGGCGTAGGGCTCGCCCGCGCGCCAGATGGCCGTGAGCGGCCCGTCGTAGTGGCGGTGCGGGTGCGTGAAGGTGCAGGGCAGCACGGCCGCCTCGCCCGCCGCCGCGCTCACCTCGGCCGGCACCTGCATGGACCAGCGCTGCGTCGGGGCACCTGCGGGCGGACGGGGACGCGTCAGCCCTGCCCGCGCAGAAGCCGTGCCGCGGGTCCCCACCCCCGGGACTCCGGAGAGTCCCCCTGGAGGGCCTGGAAACCCCAGGACTCAGGAAGCATCCCCCTCCCGGGGGCCTGGAAACCCACCCTGTGACTTGAGAGGCATCTCCCGGGACCTTGACTTCTATGACTTTCAAGGTGCCTGGACCCTCCCGCCTGTTCCCCGGCACTGTTTGCCTCGCTCAGGGGGTTCCACCTCACCTACTGACCCAGTGATCCAATCCTCTGCCTCATCAAAACCCGCCCTGCTGTCGAAAAGCCCTGGGATCCCGTGGTTACCATAGAGTCCCAAGCTCCCCAAGATGGTGATAATAATAAAAGCACTTACTGTGCACCTCTGTGTTGAGCAGGTTCCCAGTAGTATCTCTCTTAGTTCTCACAAATGATCCTAGAGGTAAGCATAGTTATCCCCTGGTTACATGTTAATAAACTGAGGCACAGAGGTCACACAGCTAGGATGAAGCAAAGCCAGCATTCAGACTCTGGACTGCCTAACTCTACACCAGCACTCTAGTGCACTAAGGACATGGAACGTTGGGGCCCATCCGAGGAGACCAGCGCTCCTATTTACAGAGGGGAAACTGAAACCTCAGGTGGGGATGGTAGGTTTTGAAGTGTAGGGAGGAAGAATTATTCCTCTACCTTCTAGGTTCTTTTGGCTAGTCTAGGAATTAAATTGACGTGAGATAGAATAACAGGAGACAATGGAACAAATTTGATAATATGTATACATGGGAGAAACCCAGGAAAACTGAGTAATGCACCAAAATGGCTGAAGCCACCACCTTAAACACCATCTTCAGCTAAAGACAAAGGAGGATGTTGCCAGTAGTGGTTTGGGACTTCAAAGGGGAGGAAGGCAATTCACATGGAAACGGAAAAGCGAATGTTTTGTAAACAAATGTGTGCCATGCTTTACAATCACAATAAGACATGGAGAGAACTTTGATCAAATTGGTTCCTCCCTGTCTAACACACCTAGTTTGTATTATACTATAGTTATCTATATGGTATTAGCTCTTTCCTGAAACAGGCCTTCTATCTTAAATTTGTTTAGGCAGTTAGGGGGAAAGTCAAAGTTTCTTTCTGAGTCTTTCATTCTCAAAAATAATCAAGCCAAAGAGATACATTTTGGGGTGGCAGATTCTGATCCCCCACATTCCTGCCTTTGAAACTTCAAGTTTTACAGTCCAGTAGCTGAGTTGGTAGATTGTACCATCTCATTGAACAAGTCTCTTAGTCCTAACAATAGGTCAGTCCAGTTAAATTCATTTCAGGAGGCAGTGATGCAGGTGGGTTCCAAGTTAGGCCTATAATGTGTAAGCAAGCGATCAGGTATTTAATAAGAAGCATTTCTATGCAAACAAAAAGAAAACCAAGGTTAATGGTTGGAGCAAATTATAAACCAATTTCTGAGCCCAGGGGACAGCCAGTCAAGAAGATTTCTAGACGTTAGGGTCAAAGCATCTTTTGCAATGTTTGAAATGTCTCTGATGATGTTGTTGGGTGTTCAGGTATCTTTTTGAGTGGCTTACACAGCAACAGGCATGATGATTGTCTAAACATGGGCTATTGTGGTGATATCTCTTAGGTTTATATCAGATTGTTAAGCTTCAGTTTGCAGGGCTTCAGGAAAAAGAGTGATTTCAGTTCTCAATGATTCCAATTGAAAAGGATGGAAAAAATTGAAAACTTTAATTTGGATATTTTTTATTTTATAATTTTATTTATTTATTTTATTTATTTCCCCAAAACCCCAGTAGATAGTTGTATGTCATAGTTGCATATCCTTCTAGTTGCTGTATGTGGGACGTGGCCTCAGCATGGCTGGAGAAGTGGTACGTCAGTGCGTGCCCGGGATCAGAACCTGGGCCGCCAGTAGCGGAGCGTGCGCACTTAACCGCTAAGCCATGGGGCCGGCCTTAATTTGGAGATTTGTAGCCAAATATTTGAGGAAACTAGAATTCAGGATCCAGTCCAGTTTACAGGCAGAAAATGAAAACCTCAAAGACAATTAACAAAACTAGAATCTAATATCCACAAGTGTGTATTATAGTTTCTATTGAAACATAATTTTTCTCTCTAAAATCCACCTCATTTTTACCAAAGAGAGCCAAATTAAAACTAATTGGTATACAAAATAAGTATAGTTTCAATAAAATTGGCCTTATTATTTACATAAGTACAGCAAGAATAACAATTGATCATATAGGCTTTTTATTTTTATTTTATTTATTTATTTATTTATTTTTTATTTATTTTTTTTTTACATCATTGTACTTCTATTTCTGCATGGACTACATCATGTTCACCACCAAAATACTAATTACAACCCATCACCACACACATGTACCGAATTATCCC